ATCTATCATATATGTGGCTACCAATCTCACAAAAAGTGACTCTGGATGGCTTGCCAACAATATTTAATTACACATCAGGTGAAAATGCTTCCTTCTCAGTCCTGAATCTCAATGAATGGCCTTGAGTTTGGACCCTATGAACCCTATTTGCCCAATGCTTAACCTTTGTGTGATTTTATACACTTCCACACCTGTCTTCATTATCTTGCACTCCAAGCTACTGTGCCCCAGAAAGCTGGCTGGTGAAATCTTGGGAGTTGGGAGTCCACCCATCTTAGTTTGAAGTTCCCCAAGTTGAGAAACACTGGTTTAGTTTTACAAACAGGGAAAATCAGTTATTTTAAAGACCAAGCTAAGACATGATGTGGGGATAAAATGCCACAAGGCATTTTATGGCCAAAACATGCTTTCTGCCTCAATGAATACTGTCACTTCCCCGAGGACTAAACACAAGGATTAAAAAAAAATCTGTTTTTTTTTTGACAGTTAGGACATTTAGCCAAGATATTCTAAACAAGGAGAAAATACGTAGGCCACCCAATATCTTATCACAACAGAAAGGACAGTTTGGCCCTGTGGTTTTTCTCCTTTCCAAAACCAAAGAGAAAGGGAGTGAATTCCAGCAGTAAATCTCAGAGCCAGGATCTCCAGGGAAAGGAACTCTCCTGCTATTTAGTGGGGAAGATGATAATAACAATGATAATGGTGTGGAAGTGTGGAGACATTTCCCTGCAGGCATACAGTCAAAGCAAACAAGTTGGCTTGCCTACAGACAAAAGAAAAGCCGAGAACAAATTCCAGCCAAAACAAGGGAGATTACTAAATTCTTAATATCCTCCCTCCCCAATTTGAAGAACACCAGGACAGTCTATTATTATTATTATTTTATTTTGCAAAAGCCTGTGCTCAAATTGACCCAATATGTCATTGGATAGTGAGATGGGTGGGCAGCATATACATTTAATCAATAATATTGATGAAATGCCCTGCCAAGCTGGCCCATGGATCCAGCCCCCCAAAATTGAGGAGGAGGCAGGACAGGTACTCTCTAGAGTAAAAGGGGGGGAGGTCCTTTGTTCTTTGCCCCACATCCTAAGAAACTCTAAAAGGTAAAGGTTTCTCTGTCAGTCATGGTGCTCATTGCCCATAGTTGCCCCAAGATATTTTCTGGGGTCATGTGACCAGCATGGTTATGCACCAAGGGCACATTCTGTTATCTTCCCAGTAAAGTGGTATAGGTACCTATCTATCAACTTGCATTTGTCTGCTTTCGAACTGATAGGTGAGCAGGAGCTGTCTATATCCCCTTCTTTGTGAGATTGGCATAAAGAAGGAGATAAACCTATTCTCCAAAGCATCTGAAGCCAGATCACGAAGCAATGGATGGAAACTAATCAAGAAGAGAAGCAACCTAGAACTAAGGAGAAATTTCCCGACGGTTAGAACAGTTAATCAGTGGAACAGCTTGCTCCATCACTGGAGGTTTTGAAGAAGGGCTTGGACAACCATTTGTCTGAAATGGTGTAGGGGCCTGCTGCCTAAACAGGTATGTGTGTGTGTGTGTGTGTAGTGTTGGAGTAGAACCAACCTTTTGGACCTCAGGGACCACTAAATTCATAATTTTAAATCCTGCAGACCACTAATATGAATTTTTTAAAAAGATAATAGTATTTAGAGCAATATAAAAACCATGGTTGGTGACCACTGGACTCGAAGACCTCCAAGGTCCCTTCCAACTCTGTTATTCTGTATGTTATCCATACTAAGAAATGCCCTTCCTCTTTTAGCTATTAAATTTAAGGGCCACCCATCTGGTTACCCAAAGCGCCTCGGGTTAGAGAAATTTAGAGAATTTAGAGAAGAGAAAGTCATCTGAAGGGATCCAAGGCCAGGAACGGGGATTCTTCCCCCCCCCCCCCCGCTTTTTTTTTTTAAAGAGAAGCTTTCCTGCCAAATCTCAAAACAGGAAGGGGCAGATAAGAAAGGAGAAAACGATCTCGGCAACAGACGGGGCCCTTAATTATGATCCATCTTTTCAGGGATGGAGGGCCACAAGGGTAACCTTGAGACTAAAGGGGCGGGTCAAGAGCCAAGAACTTGGAAATTTCCCCTTCTTTTTGGGGGAGAGGGAATTATCCACATCAAAACTTGGGGGGGGGGCGGGCTTTGTCTCATTTCCCCTTCAAAAAGAGGGGTGGGGGAAGAGAAATTGAGGCAAGGTTTTTCTCCCCCACCAAAAAAGAGGGGGGTGGAATTGAGATAAGGTTTTCTTGCCCCCTGAAAAGGGTGGAGGGAATTGAGATAAAGTTTTCTCCCCCCCAAAAAACGGGGGTGGAATTGAGACAAGGTTTTCTTCTCCCCCACCCCCGAAAACAGAGGAATCCAGACAAGGATTTCTTCCCCTACAAGAAAAGGGGGGGGGGGAGAATTGAAATAAGGTTTTCTTCCCCCCCAAAAAGGGTGGAGGGAATTGAGATATAAGTTTTCTCCCCCCAAAAAACAGGGGTGGAATTAAGACAAGGTTTTCTTCTCCCCCACCCCCGAAAAGAGAGGGGGGATTCAGACAAGGATTTCTTCCCCCCCCCCAAAATGGGATGGGATTGAGACAAGGTTTTTCTCTTCCATCCCCCCAAAAAGAGGGGTGGAATTGAGATAAAGTTTTCTCCCACCCTCAAATGGGGTTGAATTGAGACAAGGTTCCCCCCCCCTAAAAATGGGGTTGAATTGAGACAAGGCTTTTCTTCCCCCCCCAAATGGGATGGAATTGACAAGGTTTTCTCTCCCGTCCCCCCAAAAAGGGTGGAGGGAATTGAGATAAAGTTTTCTCCCCCCCCAAAAAAAACAGAGGTGGCATTCAGACAAGGATTTCTTCCCCTACCAGAAAGGGGGAGGGAATTGAGACAAGGTTTTCTCCTTCCCCTCAAATGGGGTGGAACTGAGACAAGGTTTTTCTCCCCCCCCCCAAAAAAAAGAGGGGTGGAATTGAGATAAAGTTTTCTCCCCCCCAAATGGGGTTGAATTGAGACAAGGTTTTTCTCCCACCCCAAAAAATGGGATGGAATTGAGACAAGGTTTTTCTCTCCCGCCCCCCCCCCAAAAGAGGGGTGGAATTGAGATAAGGTTTTTTCCTCCACAAAAAACGGGGTGGAATCGAGGTAAGGTTTTCCTCTCCCCCGCTGAAAAGGGGGGAATTTTCTAAGGAGGACGGGGGGGGGGGACCCTCCCCCCAAATGCCATCCAGTCGTGCCCGTTAAAACGTGAAGGAAACCAACAAGCTGAGCGCGTGGAGCCTGCGCAAAACACCCTCGTTCCCCCCCCCCCCCCCCCCCAAAAACGGGGCCACGCGAACTTTCTCTTCCACACACACACAGAGAGACCCCCAAATCCCCTCAAGACGCCGGTCCGGCTCGAGCCAAGGGCAGCGGGAGGAGGGTCGCCGTCGTCCTCCTCCTCCTCCCCCAACCCCTCCACACGCTCCCACCCGGGCGGCGCTTAAGATGGCGCCGCCGCCGCCGCCGTCCTGAGCCAAAGAGCCGGGAGGCACGGAGGCAACTTCGCGGGAGGAAGACGACGGTCTCTCGCTTCGTAGGACCCCCCGCCCCTCGAGGGGAATAAAAAACCCGGGAAAAAAAGGGTTCCCGGGGTCGGAAAACGCGGGACGGCCGCTGCCAAAACTCGGCTCCGGAGCCGGGGCGGAGCCGCAGTCGCGCCAAAGACACCCGGGAGCGCCGCCCCCCGCCGGGAGAAGCGGCTTGTCCGCCCCGCTCCGAAGCAACGGAGGGCGGGGGAAAGGTCTCTCGGCCACCCCGCCAACCCCCCCACGACTCGGGAGACCGGGCCGGTTGGGGAAAGAGGGAGGGCGGCCAACGGAGCGGATTTCCCCTCTTCTCGGCCGCCCGGTTTGCTCCCCTCACCCTGCCCCGCCGCTGCCCGCTTTTCCCTCCCTCCCGTCCGCCGCGCTCGGGACTCACCTCGTCGAAGGCTGAGAAGCCCGGGCTGGGCACGGGGCTGGCACCTGAATGGAGGAAGAGGAGGAGAAGGGGAGGTTAGATCAGGCCGGGAAAGCAGCCGGCGCAACCCCGCGGACGCCGCCGCCTCTCGCCCCGGCAGGCCCTCCCTCCCTTTGCAAAGCGGCCCCCGCCGCCCTTTCCTCGCCGCCTCGCCCACCTGCGTCCTCCTCGGAGCTGTTCATCTCCGCTGCCCCTCCAGCCGGCTGGGCTCGGCCGCCCGTCCGCTCCTCTCCGTTCGGCTGCTGCTCCCGCAAAAGCGGGCGGGTGCGGGAAGGATCGGGGAGCGGGGGTGGGCGGCGGGATCGGCAGCGGCGGGACGCGCTTCTCTCTCTTCGTTCCTTCCTTGGTGGGTTGGTTGGTTGGTTGGTTGTCCAGCGGCGACGCAACGAGGGCTGGCGGGACCGGCTGCTCGCTCGCTTCCCCAACGCCCCTCCGCTTGTAACCGGCGCCGGCTGTTGAGCGCCAACTCCGCCTCCCTCCCCTCGGCCCGGCTCCGCCCATCCAGGACTGGCGCGGGAGGCAGTACCACCTGGGGAGGAAGGGGAAGGGGCGGCGGCCGGCGCGCGGAAGCCGGCGCGGGGGGACGGGAGAACCGGCTCCTCCCGCTTCTCCCCCCCCCGCGCTCACGCCCTTGGATTCGTCCATCAGCTGAAGGGAGTGGGAAGGGGGGGGTCTGCCCTCCTCC